GGCGCTGCTGCTGCTGCTGCTGCTGCTGCGCCTTCTGAAACCGCCATGGATTGGGGTGAAGGTATATATATAGAGGAGCAACAAAGGATCGTAAAAAAACAGCAAACAAATAAAGTAAAATAAAATAGAAATATATTATTTTTAAATAAACAAAAACAGAGACAAACAGACAATACCCATGCATCGAAGCCCCGCTGCAGCAACGGCAGCAGCAGGAGTTGCTGCTGCTGCAGCCCCGGTGTCTGCATGCATGCACTGCAGCAGCAGCAGCTGCTGCTGCCTCTTTCGCTTTTTTAAACTAAAATTAAAATTAATTTGAAGAATTTGAGAACAGAAAAAGCGCCAGCAGCTGCCTTTGCCTGGGTGGTGATCCAGGGTCGCGACAAGCAGCAGCAGCAGCAGCAGCAGCAACAGCAGCAGGGACGATGGCGAAGAGGGAGAGCGGAGAAGGGTCATCTGCAGAATCGCAGATGCAGGAGCTCTTAAAGATGGTGCACACAATTAGACTCACCTGCTGCTGCTGCTGCTGCTGCTGCTGGAGCTCCTGTTGTTGTTGCTGCTGCTGCAGCATTTCCTGCTGCTGCGGCGGCAGTTCCTGCTGCCGTTGTTCTCGGCTTCTTTTGCTGCACACATCTGCTGCTACTATTGGCTAGCCCATTGCGGCTGCTGCTGACAAACGGGTTTTCTGCTGCTGCTGCTGCTGCAGGGCGAAGAGCTGCAGCAGCAGCAGGAGACGCTGCAGCAGCAGCTGGCCAGAGTGAAGCAGTCCAGACACCGCAGCGCCATCGCCATTAAGAGCGCAGAGGCCGCAGTCCAAAGCGTAGGCTTTAGGGTTTAGGGTTTAGGGTTTAGGGTTTAGGGTTTGGGGTTTAGGGTCTAGGGTTTGGGGTTTAGGGTCTGGGGTTTGCGGCTCAGGGTTTAGGCTTTTGTGGACTTTGCTGCTGCTGCTGCTGCTGCAGATGCGGGAAGCTCGGCCAGAGGCTAAGGTGTACAGGCAAATAGCCAGGCTGTAGGCCTTGCTGCTGCTGCTATTGCTGCTGCTGCAGCTGCCGCTGCAGCATGTGCTGCTGCAAGATCTGCTGCTGCTGCTGCTATTGCTGCTGCTGCAGCACGACTGCCAGCAGCTGATTTTGCTGTTAGCGCTTGCGTTCTGCCGCTGCGGTGCCGTTGCTGGCACTGCTGCTGCTACAGGGTCTGCTGCTGCAGCTGCTGCTGCTGCTGCTGCTGCTGCTGCTGCTGTTTGTTTTTAGCTTTGTTTTGGAGCCCCGAGGCTCTCTTATAGAAGACATGAGGGAAAAGGCAAAAGAGACTCAGGCGGGAATGGCCCACCTCGCGGTAAGCAGCAGCTAGCCACAGCTAGCCACAGCTAGCCACAGCTAGCTACAGTAGCTAGCTGCAGCTAGCCACAGTAGCTAGCCACAGCT